CTATTAGTGGACTTTTTAAGCATTGTGGTTTCTACTTATTCATCCTCTGGCATATCATCAGGCTCTAAGCTAGGGATTTCTGATTTTTAAAATTTTATCTATTTTAATAATGTTTATGATTAGACATCTTTCTCACTCAAGTAAACAGAAAAATCTGTAAATTTAATGGGACAAAGCAATGGAATTAACTCTCTCTATAGCTTCATTTTCTCTAATGTAGATAATGGGTAGGAGCCAGTACTATAAAATATTTATAGACATTTTTAGAGGAGTATTTAAAAAAGTGCTTTGTTTTGTTCAGATGGAAATTGTATCCATATGGTAGACAGTGGAATTGTAGAAAAACTTATGGATCTACTGGACAGACATGTAGAAGATGGAAATGTAACGGTACAGCACGCAGCACTGAGTGCTCTCAGAAACCTGGCCATTCCAGGTAAGGCTGAAAGTAGGAGACAGCTATGTAGGCAATAAAATCTATTGTTTTGGGAAGATATTTACTGTATGTAAATATTAGTTGACCTGCTATAACCAAGAAAAAGAAGTCTTCAAATTATTCACATTTTTGCTACGAATAACTGGAGATCATGTGTTAGATAAATTTTCTTAGACTATACGAACATAGTCTTTGTTCACATCATTCGTATATTCTATTTTATTACCTTTTGTGAACTCTTGGATTTTCATCATTTTGATTTAAGCTTTTTTAAGCATCTTCAGTTGATACAGTAGCATCAGTTAGCATTGTCCCATAAAGAATGATTTTTTAAGCTTTTTTTCCTACAAGCAAACATACAACTTTTTAAAATTGCTTTAATGTGTCTTTCTGAATTAAAGGCTTTTGAGCCATGCAATCACATTATCATGGGAAATAATACAGAAGATAGTTAAAACTATTCGTTTATTCTAACTCCTAAATATAAATTTCTGATTAGGTATATAACTATATTAAGATTCAATCCGTATGAATTCAGTTTGGTTCATACTGCAGATTAATACTATTTA